CAATTTGGAGAGACGAGAAAACAAGAAGCTTTTGAGTATTTTATTGGGAGGAGGTTTGGCGCCCTAGGCCCCGGTGCGGCCTTCAGATCGGAGAGGCTCCTGCGATGGAGCGTGCCAATCCCCCGGGACCTAGGCACTGGTGGCGGCATTTGGCAGCGGGAAGCAGATTGAAGGCAGATTGGAGGCAGGGTGAAGAGGGGGAGGCGGTGGTTGCAAGGCTTCGAGAAGGCCGAGAGTGGGAGTTTCTCCGCTTTTAAGCGGCTGCCTGGCCGGTATGGGTGATTGGAAGGGGGCGTTTGCTGTGCGATAGGCTGGGGATGTGAACCGGCCTGGAGGGGGTAACTTTGGCTGACGTCTACCAAATTGAATTTCCGCGGGCTGCATTTGTCCTTTATTTGAAATTTGTCTATTAACAATCAATACAAAATGAATCAAAAAAAGATTATGCATCAAATGCTTCTCTTTATTACGATAGTGGACTGTTTAGTAAGAAAATTTGATTTGAGCTCTTAACCCTTTAAGCGCCAGAGGTTTTTTTCCAAAACGCTCAATTTTGACATCTTTATTTCAAAAGGCTACAACTTAAAAGTGATAAGTGATAAAGGCTTTCTGTAAATTAGAAAAATATTAAAGATGGTCCAAAGTTTATATAGAGAATAAATTCCCCCATCTAATTTGCATATTATGACGTAATTTGGCGTTAGAAATAGTGGATTTTAGAATTTTCATACAATATTTGTATTTTTCTAACTGACAGACATACATTGATCACTAGGACATGAACACACACAGAACACACACTGTAACATTGTAAATGTTCATGAAAATAGTAAAAAATACAAAACATGCTGCTGCTGCTGTGAGCAGTCTGCCCAGACGCGCACCTCCAGGTGAAGCGCGTCACCGCGACTCTCCTGCTGCTGCTGTTGTCTCCTCAGACACTCAGTTGGACACACTCGGCCGTTTTAAACAGTACCGCAGCTTGTCGACTTAAGTCGACGTGCCTAGAGGGTTAATTTTTAACCACACTTCCAATCTAATTTGAAATATCTTCCTAATACTGAATGATAAAATCTATATTTGTATCAATTGTAATGAAGTGAAATTCAGCTGACATGCACACACATTTATACATACATAGTATGTGTTAAAACAATATATTTTAAAAATAGTAACCCAATTAAATGATTCAGGATAACAAAAGGGAGAGGCGGCCTTACCCAGTGAGTCTTCAAGGTCACCTTCTTGGTCACCCTCTTGGTCACTGTCAAAGTTTACAGTATCTGTGGAAGAGAGAGAAAGGCTATGAGGATGTGATAGGATTGTTTGAGTAAAACTGTATACATTTAGCAGTAAGAATATATGAATGTGAATGACAATTTGTTTATACAATAAAAGGAGTCTTAAAAGAGCATGAATGAGAAAACCAGAATGAAAACTTTACTTGACAAATAAAATAAATATCATTTTTGGTACCTTCAGGATCAACGTTGATATCATCCAGGGACTTGCCCTTGAATTCTGCCAAACGTCCCTGCTCCAGAGCTATAAGAATTTTGCTGATTTTAGCAAGTTGGAGAGTTCCCTCCGGCAATCTATAAAACTGTCTGTGTACTCTGATGTCATGTCCAAGATAGTCAGCTAACTGATCCAATTCTGTATTACTAAGATTGAGAACTTGGGACAGGGTCGCTGTTTGTTTACGTAATTTTGTTGACGTCAGACATTCAGGGTTTTTTGCACCACAGGCCTTTGCAAAGTACCTAAGAGTATCAGAGCCACGGTAGTACATCAGACTGGATGGTCTTGCAAAAAGGTGTAAGTTGTCTTTTAGAATCCCACATTCTTTCCTTTTGCTGGTAAGAAGATCCAATGCCTGTTGCATTTCTGGGGTCAAAAGCACAGGTACTTTCCTTCCTCGTTTGCCTCTGATTTCGATTCGTCTGAAGTGTTTACACAGTCTCTTCTCAAGATCTGAAAGAGCAACATTAATGTCCTCCTGTGGATCTGATACATTGTTTGATGTATAGGCAGAGACAGACATTTTTGACACTTCTCCAGCTCTTCGTCGGTTAAACAATATAACCTGTGTCAAAACTACCTTTGTCAACTGCGAGTATGTCTGGGGGGATGTGTCAGAGGATAACTTGCAGAGAAGATCTTGTTGCTGCCCATCCAAAAAGGAGTGAAGTGTCTGGACGTCTTTTGTGAAAGGGATCAATTGTGGGGTGTTCCACTTGGATTCTTCAAGAGTTCTCAGAGATGCTGCAGATATTAATTCATTCCATTTGGCTTCATAGACACTGCGAAATATTTGTGCCTCTTTTGCAGCAGTGGAGTTACCTTGAACATTTGAACGGCTTTCAACAAGCAAGGATATTTTTTTCAAACTGTATCCTATTTTTAATGCCAGACTAGGACAACTGTATGAATGCTTTTCAGAACTATACCCTGCCAATTCTTTTACACTTTTAATCACGTGCATAAAATTTGCAGGCTTGATGTGATCCTTAATTGTCTTCAGGTGGGTGTTTTTTCTGGAGCACAATAGCAGTCTTCCCAGTTCCCTTAATTTCTGTCGAATATACTCATGTTTGCTGACATCATACCCCAGCCTGTTGTACAAATGTTCTCCATACTCTAGTATACAAGTGTCAGATTTCACTGCATGGAACACATCATCTTGCACCATGTTGTTCAATAGTTTCCACAGCTCTTCCTTTACTCCTGTCGGTGGAGGCACTGTAAAGCCACAGAGGGCCTGGACACGTGTTCTGCCAGGTTTTAGTGGAATATTCGGCCTGAATTTGCAGGTCTTTATGTGCCTCCAGAGGACTTTTTTTACAAACAAGCCCTGACAATATGCACAATGGAGAAAATTTTTCACTTGGGATTTTTCCTTTGGTTGCTTGCAAGGCACAGGAGTTCCAACACCAAGATTCAGCACTTCAACATTGTGGGCAAAGTTTCCCTTGTTTCTTAAAAGCTCCATATGCATGCGTCTTTCTTTGGAGCCTTTTGGGAAGGACAAAGCCTTTTCAACCTCTGGCTTGTCTTTATGCGCACGCTCCAGATGTCTTGCCATTTTACTTAGGTCCTTCTTGCAGTACAAACAATATTGTCTTTTGTCATACTTTCTTGATCCATCCTCTTTTTTAGAAACAGCTGGTATGGAAAGTAAATCACCAGCCAGTGAATCCACTCCTTCCAAATGTTCATCCTGATCAGATAATGACTTCTCGAGGGCTCCAGTGTCCGTCCCTTCGCTCTTTTTTGTGGAGTAGCTGGGACTTGTTTGTGTTCTTGGGCAGGATACACTCCTTGCACCTCTCTTTCTACAGCTCCTACCAGAGGTGCTTTCTTTCCTGGCAAGTGCACTCCCAGTCTTCACAGTTTGCGTCAAAGAGGTGCTGTCAAGTTCTTGCAGTGAGCGACTTAAATCTCTGACTTCCATAATATTCCCTAACTTTGGAAATCTCTGACATTTCATCTTCTGCTCAAATGAGACAATGCCACTACCATCTGTATCTTCAGAAGAATCCTCACAACTCTTAGGAATGTATTCTTCTCCACTTCCACTGTTGTCAGAGATGGGATCAAAAAGGTCATCTGAATCAAATTCAATCCTATCTTTTATCTTCAGGACAGAAAAAAGAAATGCAATAAAAGAGAGAAGCTTGAGTCATACACATTAAATGGAAAAACAAAATGTTAAACATGCATTAATATTGTCTGAGTTGCACACCTGTATGCTCTTGGTTCTCCTCAACCGCGGAATAGACTCCTGGTCGGTGAGTATGAGATCAGAATCAGAAACCAGACTCTGAGTCTATAACATAAGACAAAAAAATCTAAAATGTTATATATATATATATATATATATATATATATATATGCCAGAAATATTTTGTTTAAGTACCTTGCTGCTTTCTATTTGTTGGGCAGGACTGGTGCATAGGTCCTGAGAGTCAGAGTCAGAGTCGGAGTAGTCAACAAGGGAAGGAATTAATCCAACTGATGAACAAACACGTTCTGGTTTATTCAAGCCCTATCAAAGAAAATAGTGGAGAATTTAAATCAATGACAGCACCTCCCCACTCACTCACTACCTTCCTAACTAAATTCCGTTATGTTGTCTGTATAATGAATAAATGTGGAGGGGATTTCCCAACTACAATGGTCCCCACAAATACAGACACCAGACAAGTGTGTTAAGTGTGGTCCCCACTTAATTAGGAACACCAGACTGTGCTTGATAAAATGTGTGAAACCAAAATGGAACTGATCTGAATTGACCTGTGATAGAAGAACTGGTGTAAACTGTACAAGACAAACTTAGCTAGTGGTATGGGCCACGTGTAATAGATTGTGTTTTGTTGCCTGTATGAATGAGGGTATTACCAAATACCGTGGTCCCCACAAATACAGACACCAGACAAGTGTGTAATAACAGTAAAAGACTGGTTGGTCCCCACTTAATAAGAAAAAACAGACTCCGCTTGGCAACATGTGTGAGACCGAAATGGAACTGATCAACTAAACCAGGCAGTGTGCACAAGAGCAAACATTGCAGAACAAACTCATTCCTACCTTCATGGTGGAAGTTGAGGGCCTCTCTGAAGTTTCCAGAACAGCAGAGAAGACTGCACTGTCAGATGACTCAACGTCAGCATCAATTGTTTGTTCTTGTGTCTGAAATAAGAGAAAAAAATATTCATAAGCAATGAGCAGTTTTTCAACAGTAAAGCAACTATTTTGGTAAATAAATCAGCTTAGTTTAGAAGAGAAAAGCATATATTGGAATGAACATCTATATCTCTGTGTTCTGGCCCAAAATCATATGTATTTTCAATAGGTTGAACTTATTTCTGGTTAAAGTGTAAAAAGTGTAGCCTGTTACAGTATTTCAGTGAAAGCTACAACTGAAAACAAGTGAATAGCAAGCATTACAGGGTTGTTTTGACCTGTGATAGAATAACTGGTGTACCCTGTACAAGACAAACGTGGCTAGTGTTACGGGCCACATGTAATGGACACTGTTTTGTTTTCTGTATGAATGAAGGTGACGAATCAATGTGAGTAAATGTGGAGGGTATCACCCAACAACCGTGGTCCCCACAAATACAGACACCAGACAAGTGTGTTAAGTGTGGTCCCCACTTAATTAGGAACACCAGACTGTGCTTGATAAAATGTGTGAAACCAAAATGGAACTGATCTGAATTGACCTGTGATAGAAGAACTGGTGTAAACTGTACAAGACAAACTTAGCTAGTGGTATGGGCCACGTGTAATAGATTGTGTTTTGTTGGCTGTATGAATGAGGGTATTACCCAACTACCGTGGTCCCCACAAATACAGACACCAGACAAGTGTGTAATAACAGTAAAAGACGGGTTGGTCCCCACTAAATGAGAAAAAACAGACTCCGCTTGGCAACATGTGTGAGACAAAAATGGAACTGATCACCTAAACCAGGCAGTGTGCACAAGAGCAAACATTGCAGAACAAACTCATTCCTACCTTCATGGTGGAAGTTGAGGGCCTCTCTGAAGTTTCCAGAACAGCAGAGAAGACTGCACTGTCAGATGACTCAACGTCAGCATCAATTGTTTGTTCTTGTGTCTGAAATAAGAGAAAAAAATATTCATAAGCAATGAGCAGTTTTTCAACAGTAAAGCAACTATTTTGGTAAATAAATCAGCTTAGTTTAGAAGAGAAAAGCATATATTGGAATGAACATCTATATCTCTGTGTTCTGGCCCAAAATCATATGTATTTTCAATAGGTTGAACTTATTTCTGGTTAAAGTGTAAAAAGTGTAGCCTGTTACAGTATTTCAGTGAAAGCTACAACTGAAAACAAGTGAATAGCAAGCATTACAGGGTTGTTTTGACCTGTGATAGAATAACTGGTGTACCCTGTACAAGACAAACGTGGCTAGTGTTACGGGCCACATGTAATGGACACTGTTTTGTTTTCTGTATGAATGAAGGTGACGAATCAATGTGAGTAAATGTGGAGGGTATCACCCAACAACCGTGGTCCCCACAAATACAGACACCAGACAAGTGTGTTAAGTGTGGTCCCCACTTAATTAGGAACACCAGACTGTGCTTGATAAAATGTGTGAAACCAAAATGGAACTGATCTGAATTGACCTGTGATAGAAGAACTGGTGTAAACTGTACAAGACAAACTTAGCTAGTGGTATGGGCCACGTGTAATAGATTGTGTTTTGTTGGCTGTATGAATGAGGGTATTACCCAACTGCCGTGGTCCCCACAAATACAGACACCAGACAAGTGTGTAATAACAGTAAAAGACGGGTTGGTCCCCACTAAATGAGAAAAAACAGACTCCGCTTGGCAACATGTGTGAGACAAAAATGGAACTGATCACCTAAACCAGGCAGTGTGCACAAGAGCAAACATTGCAGAACAAACTCATTCCTACCTTCATGGTGGAAGTTGAGGGCCTCTCTGAAGTTTCCAGAACAGCAGAGAAGACTGCACTGTCAGATGACTCAACGTCAGCATCAATTGTTTGTTCTTGTGTCTGAAATAAGAGAAATAAACATTCATAGGCAATGGGAAGTTTTTCAACAGTAAAACAATTATTTAGGTAAATAAATCAGCTTAGTTTAGAAGAGAAAAGCATACATTGGAATGAACATCTATATCTCTGTGTTCTGGCCCAAAATCATATGTATTTTCAATAGGTTGAACTTATTTCTGGTTAAAGTGTGAGAAGTGTAGCCTGTTACAGTATTTCAGTGAAAGCTACAACTGAAAACAAGTGAATAGCAAGCATTACAGGGTTGTTTTGACCTGTGATAGAATAACTGGTGTACCCTGTACAAGACAAACGTGGCTAGTGTTACGGGCCACATGTAATGGACACTGTTTTGTTTTCTGTATGAATGAAGGTGACGAATCAATGTGAGTAAATGTGGAGGGTATCACCCAACAACCGTGGTCCCCACAAATACAGACACCAGACAAGTGTGTTAAGTGTGGTCCCCACTTAATTAGGAACACCAGACTGTGCTTGATAAAATGTGTGAAACCAAAATGGAACTGATCTGAATTGACCTGTGATAGAAGAACTGGTGTAAACTGTACAAGACAAACTTAGCTAGTGGTATGGGCCACGTGTAATAGATTGTGTTTTGTTGGCTGTATGAATGAGGGTATTACCCAACTACCGTGGTCCCCACAAATACAGACACCAGACAAGTGTGTAATAACAGTAAAAGACGGGTTGGTCCCCACTAAATGAGAAAAAACAGACTCCGCTTGGCAACATGTGTGAGACAAAAATGGAACTGATCACCTAAACCAGGCAGTGTGCACAAGAGCAAACATTGCAGAACAAACTCATTCCTACCTTCATGGTGGAAGTTGAGGGCCTCTCTGAAGTTTCCAGAACAGCAGAGAAGACTGCACTGTCAGATGACTCAACGTCAGCATCACTTTGTTCTAGTGTCTGAAAAAAAATAACTATAACTATACTATATATCATTATATTTCATTATGAAATCACTTGGATGTAGACAGGCAGACCCACCAGTATATAGTTAAATCCAAGAAAAAATATCTGGATAATGAAATGTTACACTAGAGCAATCATTGATAATCTTACTAATTATGACAAACCTGTTTTCTCCATGGCCAATCTTTTCCCCCATAGTCATATGTGATTTCTTGTCCTGGATGAATTTCCCTCAATGCAAAGAGGAAAAGGTGTGGTTTGCCCTCTATTATGACCCTCTTCATTTTGCAGTTTGGGTGCCTGTGGTCATCATTGACGAGTCGTCCAAGGCTACCATCTTCTCGGGATGCATCAATACTTGAGATTGGAAAACATATATTCATATTAATTAAAACATTAATTTACCAATTAAATGAAGGTCCATAACTATTTAGAAATGGCTATACATGCTATCCATTTGAGCATTATAAAATCTCCTGCTCTTGGAAAAATAGGCAGACATTTATCAAAACCTTACCACCATATTTTTTCCTTCCAGTAGAACTCATAAAGAAAAACGGCACTCGCTCTGTGGTAAGTCCTCCTCCTTCTTTGTGATTCTTCCCAAGTTATTAAATCTCCTCTGTACTCAACCACGAAGTCACCCTTTCCAAATTGGCATTTGGCAAACACCCCACGACCTAGAGAAACATCAATCGATTAGGCAAGGCAAGTTTATTTGTATAGCACAATTCATACACAAGGCAATTCAAAGTGCTGAACAAAATAAGAAAGCATTAATATCATAAATAATTATCCAAACTTTATTTATAAAGCGCTTTTCATACAAAAAATAACAACACAACGTGCTTTACAGTTTGGTTAAAAACATGTCCCGCCGGCACATGTGTTTACTATGTCATTTTTCAACACCTTAAAGCTTCACTTAAGATAAAAAAAATGTATATATATATAGAGATGATTACAGCTTAAGTATTGATTAATCGCATTTCGAACTATCGACAAAATGATGCCATATATTGCAGGTAAATGGTTGTTTGAATGGAAAGATACATGACAAAATAGTGTTCATTTGTACTGTAGTTGTTTATTAGAACAAATACAGCACTGTATTTGTTCTATGTACTGTATTTGTAGTGACTCAAACCAAAATTAATGTTTGTTACAGATGAGGGATATTTAAAACAGTCTGAGGCAGAATGTCATTAAATCTGTTTGATTTGGTTACACCATTACTTTTGGACACAAGTAGTGGAAGGGAAAATTAGGTACCCAAGCTTTAATTTAGCGAGTGCGCTTCGGGAGAAGACGCGGAGGAGACTGAGGCTCCGCAGTCCAGCTTCTGCGCTGTATTTTTTGTGTGCACCGGTTAAGCAAAGACACGCACATTACAAGCAGAGAATAGTTCTGTGCGTGTATGTCTTGGATATTGATCAGCAAACGGCGTGATCACAGCCGCTGGAGGAACTGCTGTCCAGAGCGTCCGCAGCTTGCAGAGTTCATACAGGAAACAGCAGCAAGTGCCTCGCGGTCACAAATAATAAACGTGTGTTAAAACTTCCAAAAATGCCATTTTATAAACTGGAATCCGTTAATTCAGGTTGTGCAAATCTTGTGCATTCCCACCATTTAACATCTACTCTTTGTAGTATACCATTTGTGTTTCTCAAGTTTTTAGTAATCCGCAGCTACTAAGTTCAGAAACTACGCAATCACAAAATGATATAGCCTCAAGTTAACGGTGCTTAGGCATGTGTTTTGTGGTTTGGGGTGTTTTGCATATTTTATGCTTGTCGCCTGGACAAATGGATAATGTAGTTCGACTTTCTCACATTAATGCTAAGAACCGGGTCAGAACATCTTGTGTTGCACATTCGGCTATGTTCTCAATACTGTTATAGTGAAAAATGTTACTTTTGTGCATATTTGTGTCAAGCCATTACTGAATGTAAAAAAATGACACACACATACAGTACCTTTATAGGGGTTAATGAATTGCACATCCAATTCCACCGTCTTGTCCTGTGCTTTTGTGGCATGTATAGTAGCGTCCTCCATTGGAAGTTTCCTCCTGCTTCTTGTTGCCATTGTTATTCCTATTTTGAAATACAAAGCATTAACAATGTCATAGAACACCCTCCATACATCTTTTATTTTATAAAATTATGCTTTAGTTTTGTCAGACAGCCAAATCTACACAACATTACATAGAGACAGATGACGCAATTATTTTTTACAGCTTGAATTAAAGAGAAGTAAAGACCTGGTGGCCAACCAGCAGACATATGATATTGTTTGAATTAGATACAACACGCAATCGCTGAATATCAATTATATTCATGCAATGCACTGTGCTGTGCTGGTAGAAATGGCATGGGCCACTTGTTAGCTGGTCTGCTAACAAGAGGTAACTATAGAAAACTAAGTAAAGATTTGATATTCAATATTTTGAATTGTTTACAACTATCTGATATAAATAAATATGTTTTAGTTATGTCAGACAGTAAAATGTAGACCAGATTACATAAAGACAGATGTTAGTTATATTTTAAGTCAGAAAAACAATCACTCAATGGGTACCTGTGCAGACGTGATCCCTGGTGCATGTACACCACACTCAACACCTGGTAGCCACCCAGCAGATATATAAATAAGTCCCCGTGCGCGTGCTGTGGTTCCCGCGGGAGCCCCGGTGCGCGTGCAGACGTGGATCCCGCGGGAGCCCCGGTGCAGGTGCAGATGCAAACGTGGATCCCGCGGGAGCCCCGGTGCGCATGCAGACGTAGATCCCGCGGGAGCCCCGGTGCGCTTTCAGACGTGGATCCCGCGGGAGCCCCGGTGCAGGTGCAGATGCAGACGTGGATCCCGCGGGAGCCCCGGTGCGCATGCAGACGTAGATCCCGCGGGAGCCCCGGTGCGCTTTCAGACGTGGATCCCGCGGGAGCCCCGGTGCAGGTGCAGATGCAGACGTGGATCCCGCGGGAGCCCCGGTGCAGATGCAGACGTGGATCCCGCGGGAGCCCCGGTGCGTGGATCCCGCGGGAGCCATACAGACGTGGGGAAGCCCCGGTGCTCAGCAGGGCGTGGAGTACCGGTGTTTACAGCGGGTTTCCACGCTCAAGACCCGGTGGACACCCAGCCAGCTGATATATAAATAAATTAATTCCACTACAACACGCACTTGCTGTATACTAATCGAATTTATGCATTGTGATTACACTGTGCTGATAGAAATGGCGCAGGCCACATGTTAGCCCATTAGCTTGCATTAGCTGCTCTGCTAACATGAGGTAGCTTGAGGAAACAAAGTTCCTAACTAAACTAAAACTAAGTAAACTAGGTTTACTCAATGGCCGAACACATGCATTTAATCTCATACAACTGTCTGATATAAATAAATCTTGTCTTTGTATAAGTATTTGTTAAACTTACCTTTTTGTTCTCACTCATGTCTCAACCGTGTCAATGGCACTGAGAAGTAAATCCTTCCACGCACATGCGCAGATGAGTCAAGTGTGTGTGAAGTGTGTATTCTTGCAGTACCAGATCCGACCAGTAGTTGGCAGCACTGAGAGAGACTTGTTATACACACTTTTACACACTTTTTCAGATATATGTGATATCTGGGGTCAGCCCTGAAAATTTGTCAGGGAACTCCCCTGACCTTCTTTTCAATGAATCTAATGGTCACCCTCGTGGGGACCAGGTTTTTGGTCCCCACGAAAATTTCGGTCCTCACGCCGTGAGTGTGCTGTCCTGACCACGGTCCCCCCCAAGTGGGAAAGACAAACACACAGACACACACACACACACACACACACACACACACACACACACACACACACACACACACACACACACACAGACACAGACACAGACACAGGCGCACGCGCACGCGCACACGCGCACGCACACGCACACGCACACGCACACGCACACGCACACAGCACACGCACACACACACACACACACACACACACACACACACACACACACACACACACACACACACACAGACACAGACACAGACACACACACACACACACACACACACACACCCTGTTCTCGCTTCTTGCTGATGCCTTCTCTGGTTCTTCTTTTGAACTGAATCTCATTTGAACATGTTTTTAAATCATGTTTCCATCTGATGTTCCGTCCCAAATAGCAGCTCCTCGCACTGACACACACACGCACACGCACACACACACACTGACACACACACGTTGATTTGAGAGTAGCTCTACATTTAGGCACGTTTATTTTTAATGCTTCCCCTTAAACTGTAATTATTATATTTTTATGTAAATGATGTGGCAGAGTTTCATGTAAAGGGGATTTGTGCAGAGTCAAACTGATAACTGTGGGTTTAATGTATTGAATATTATTTTGTTAGCATCACTGCTGTCTTAACAACTGCTAGCAATGTGCATTATTGGTTTAACATCCAACCCATCTCCAGTATTTCTCTGATATCGGGTTGCAGTAGCATTGATTCGCTCAAATCTTTGTCCTAGTTTTTTCAAGGTATTTTTGTGTAGTCCTAAATAACAAGTTTGTTAGATTCTCTGATCTCATTTCATTCATTTCATTTCATTTTCAACCCCTTTATTTGTCTATTTCTGGGTCGGGGGGGTGGCAATGAGAGCTGCCCCCAACGCTCATAGCACCAGTCCCTCTGATCCTCTGCAGGGGGTGAGTCCACAGGAAGATGGCTGCTCTGTCAGTTGAGAAACCGCCTTGATATTTCAGCGGGGGGCTTCAGGCAACGTGGGGTTAAGTGTCTTGCCCAAGGACACAACGACAGCAGTCATCAGTGGGAGCAGTTGGAGTAGGTCCCATGGTGGGAATCGAACTCACGACCTCCAGGCCCAAAGGCCAATGCTCTACCAACTGAGCCACTGTCGCCCCTCTGATTCTCTGATCTGTGTTGGCGAATTCAACAGTTTTGTAAAGTCTTCCGCAATAACTACTTTTGTGATTTAGGGCTATGCAAGAAAACATTGAATTGCCTTGGAGGACTTGACAACGTTGTCGATTCCTCAACAACAGATCAGAGAATCAAACCGTGCACTGAAATGTAAGAGTTGCTTTTTTGACTCCCCAAGAACTTTTGTTTCTGTGGGAAGTGCGTCCTCTGCAGTTGACCCATCCTTGCACTGCCGCTCTAGGGCGTCTGCTGGGCCCTGGATGCTGCACTTCCGTTGGAGCTCTTGGCCACTGGAGCTGGAGGATTTTACCCATGATGCATTTTGTGGGTGGGTACTTGACAGATCTTTTCATTGCCAGACGTAATGGACCATTTTCACTGGAATCTCATTTCATTTTTAGGAAAATAAGTGAATCTTTTTGGGGTTTTTTGGCAATATCTGTCAGACGTGCAGGAGAGGAGTAAAGGAAAGCACAGAGGCAGAGGCTGGAGCCAGAGCTTAAGGACTTTGCCAAAATCACCGCCAAACCCACAGCGGCCAGGAGTAAATGGGGAAACTCATTACACAAGTCAGTTTTGTTCACTGATGAAGCGCGCACCAGTCCAAACGCACAGCCGTCGATGGGATTCTGTAACGCAGAGGAAGAGGAGGCGTCCTGCTCAGGAGGGAGAGCCCGTGTTTACACAGAGATAGTTTAAGTAAGTAATCTTTATTCATATACCGCCTTTCACAGACCAGAGTCACAAAGCAGTTTACAATTGTTATTTTTGGGCATTTGTCTCTCACTCCACACAGAGATGGGAGCGGGGTCGCCGAACAGGAGGCGCATGCCAGACCTATTGTACATGTTTTTAGTGGTAGGGGAAACCGGAGTACCCGGAGGAAACCTACGCAGACACGGGGAGAACATGCAAACTCCACTCAGATAGGCCCTGGTCCGGCCGGGATTCGAACCCAGGACCTTCTTGCTGAGAGGCGAGAGTGCTATCCACCCAGGGTCATCTCCCTCTTATGGACCAATGGCTCCTATGTTCAGTTCAAATCAGCTCAGAACCAAATCCATGGAAAAGGGGCTTTAACTGCCATTGACCGTTGTTTACCGAGCAAGATAAAATGGCTACGTTTGTCCAGGTGTAAGGACTGAATGACGTGTGCATTGGCCACGCCCTCTGACCCGCTCATCTGTAATAGAATGTGAGGTTCCCGCTCATTTCTGAGTTCTAAGATCCTTTAATTTACAGCGGGGAAACTTCAGTGTTGCTGTGTGTTTGTGCCTGTTGTGTGTTCTATTGTATCTGTTTTAATATCAACCTTCCACGGGACTATGGATGATGAAAATGAGCCTACATGGCTAACTCTAATGTGCACTGTCCCATTCAAATAAAGATTAAAAAACAAAAAAACATACAGGAAAGTAGTAAAAGACACTGGGAGCACACAAACTGTACAAAATAAGTACCTGATATGTTTCTTAGCAAGCTGTAAATGCTTCGATAACACACATGGTGCAGGCTAATGAGTAGATAAAGTACTAAGTAGATACTCTGGACTTAATAAACAGCCTGAAGACACCTCTCTTTCTTCCACAAAACCACTTTCCCGTCGCACTAGTGTTTAAAGAACTTGCATTCGACTCAAAACGAGTACTTACTTATTTGTCTAATAACCCTTTGTCTGACCTTCACATGAATCCAGTCAATTCCACCGCAGATTTACTCCTAACCCTGTGATTGTAGAAGTGGAACTGCCTTTTTCTCGTGCAATTATCGAACGGCGTACTGAGAAGTGTCGGAGGCGTGGATGTGTTATCGGCAAACAGGAGAGGCTTATCTCGCTCCTCATTTCCTCAACACCACGACGTGAAGAGCACAGACCCTTTCTCCATCTCACAAAAAAACAATAATAATGGAAATAGCTTTTTAATTAACTGCGTTCATAAACAATTTTTATTACTGTCAATGTAGCCACTGATTGGGCTCGGCACGTACAAGACAAACTCGGAAAACATCGGAGAATATCGTTCTAAAGTATAATTTAACTTATAGTGTGGAGCTAATATATGACAGGCTCAGATATGCCAAGTTTATATTTTAAAGCAGCAGTCTGTAAACATGTGGTCAAAAATGGTACTGCAGCCTCTCCCACTTTCCCTGACTCAGGTTGCCAGATATGCAGACGAATCCAGCTGGGACCATAACAGCTGAATAGACAAGAGTTTTGTCAACAACAAATCTATAACCAACACCTTTTTCACAAAGATAGAAATCCTGGTTTTATTCCTAGTTTTGTCGTTAATGATTTGAGAATCATAACAAGACCTTTTTTAGTTCTGCGCCACATGGTACTTTACCAGTGAGATTAGCTCCACATGGTACTTCACCAGTGAGATTAGCTCCACGCGGTGAGTTCTGGCGCCCGGATCACAGACTTTCTGATTGGTGAAACGGTGGAGGGCGGGACATCAAATGAAAACAATAACAAGATTTAGAGGCTGGAAAAGTTATTTAGAAATCCAAATATCTCTGACTATATACTACTCCTTTAAGTCTTTTTATCTTAATTTGAGGTCCAATTAATATAAAAACAGAAATGTAGTTTTTTTTCAAGAACTGTTGTTGTTATTTTCTCATTCCAAGGGAGAAATTTCATGTATCCTTTGAAAACAAGATACTTTTGCTTCATCCCATTTCCAAATCGTGTTTCACGGCAGTCAGAATGTGTTAAAATTAATATACATTTAAACATTTTGGTCATCACTTTTTGCACATTACATTGCTTTCCTACAAGTTTACATTAGAGTTGATTGTATTGCTTTCCAAATGCCTTCTGTATTTGGTGGGAGCGTTGACGATGTCGCGGTCAGAACGGTTAGAGTATACGTTAGAGTATACGTTAGAGTATTTCAGTCTCGGCCGTGACTTCAGGGTCGGTGATGTCTTTGAAACGGACGCTCAGGTCAGAGAGTGTGTGGAGGAGACGAGAGCCGCTCCAGTTTCCAGGCAACAGAAACTCCTTCTCTGTGATGAAGTGATGGAGGAGGTCAACACCTTCCAACACGTGACACGTCTCAGTAAGCAACAGGCTGGAAACACTGAATAACTGTTTAATGTCGGAGCTCTGCAGAGACACGGGGAAATTGTTCCATATTTATTCTTCTGAAAGAATTTATATGATTCATCAAGTTTGGCCCATAAACACGAGACTTTAAAATAATGCAAGAAGTGAAAAACTAGGGCCAGAACTCAATGTAAAAATAAAAATAAATTAGAGGCTGTGTAATTAATGAAGTATTATTAATCACATGTATAAATATCTGACCTGAGAGCGGTGAGAAGTATTTGTTTCACATGGACTTTTAGTTGACTGCACCATTGAATCATGACTCCCCCTGGACTGCCGCCTTAACGTGTTGGGGGAGAACTTGGATGATCCTGGGAGCTTTGTTATCTGGGCAACGGGTGAAGAGGAAAATGGATGAATCATGACTGAATATAACAAAACATAGTTTGTATAGTATTTTTGTTCAACCTCGTCCAACAGACCAGTGCAACGTTTACCATAAACTGGAGTAACACCATGTTTAGAAATATACTTTTTGAGGGTCCTTTTTTCTACCGCTCAAAGAGGGGTTCAGTGAGCCAGGCCATTGGTTAATTATCCATCCATTTTCTTCCAATTCATCCGTTGCCGGGTCGCGGGGGCAGCAGTCGGAGCAGAGACGCCCAGACTTCCCTATCCACACACACTTCCTCCAGCTCGTCCAGGGGGACCCCATGGTGTTCCCAGGCCACAGAGAGACATAGTCCCTCCAGTGTGTCCTGGGTCTTCTCCGGGGCCTCCTCCCGGTGAAACCTGCCCGAGCCATCTCAACTGGTTCCTCTCGACGTGGAGAAGCAGCGGCTCTAGTCCGAGCTCCTCACCCTATCTCTAATGGAGCGCCCATACAGCGGAGGAAGCTCATGTGAACACACCCAGACACATGAGCTTAATGTCTGGGTGTGGATCTTTGTTAATGTGTATGTAATTATTTCTGTTGAATAATGCGTTACTCTCCTACTAATGGATAAATACATGTTGCAATGTCCGTTTCTTCTTGACATGGATGCATTTTTTCTCCGTTAGTTTTAATGAACATCAAACATTGCATGCTACAAGCCAATACAGCCACACAGTTGTGAGTCCGTTAAATGAATTGGAGAATCTGCCTAAACTTGGCCTGACAGAATATATTGTATAGACTCACTGTAACTGTTTTAATAATTAGGCTTTTTAATTAGCCAAAAATATGTCAAACCATACAAATAAATGAGGCCAAAACACATGAGCAACTGAACTGACCTCCCACAAGGCACACAAGGGGAACATAAAAGCTGGGTGATAAGACCAACTACCAATCAAAGGGGAGTAAACAAGACTACACAAAACAAATACATATGTTTACTTAAACCAACTTAAGGATAAAGATAAATGACTGTAGCAATAGTAATTGTCAATAATAATAATAATAAGTAGTAAAATAATAAACTCATATATACCTAAACAATATGTGATGATCAGGACACTTTAGCATTCTACAACATGTATGGACATTTTCTTCTGTGTGTGCTTTATATTCTTCATGTGTTTTAACTGTTGATTCTCTGACCTGTGTTGGTGATTTCAATGGTTTTGTTAAGTCCTCTGAGATGACTTCTGTTGTGACCTAGGGCTATACAAGAAAACATTGTATTGTAATATAAACTCAAATAGACCTCCCAAACATCCCCTCTTCTGGCCCTGCCATGGTTCAGGGTGGAGCCTGGAGGTAACACCCCCAGCTGGAGTGGGTGCCGGTGGAGTCAGCCCACAGGAGAGTGAGCCCCAAATGTGAGGGAGGAGTCAGCCCTCACACTCACCATGGTAACAAGTTTGATTTTTAGGTATTTAGACAGGTTCCTGAAGTTCTGGCTGCGTGGATAGAGCCAAACCCAACAGCTCTCATTGTGGGCCTCCCTGGCTTTCTTACTGTATTCCTGCTGGGTGTTTTTGAGTCTCTCTTTGCAGATGAAGCAGCTGAGGGCAGTGATGATCCAGGACATTTACACACATTTAGTCCTGTGTTTGAACTGTTAGACTCTCGGATCTGTTGTTGGTGAATCAACAACTTTATCTGTAATTATTGTATTGTATTGTTATTAGGGCTGTCAAAATTATCGCGTTAACGCACGTTAATTAATTTTTTTCATTAATCGCGTTAAAAAAATTAACGCATTTGACGCATGCCCATGCGTCCCATAATAACACTCAGAATGCCGCGGACACATGCGTGTGTAAGATGGGGACAGAGGAGGTAGACCCTCTGGGAATACACAGCTTAGTGAACACATGTTCACTAAGCTGTTATTTATATTTCCATTCAAACAACCATTTACAGAAAAATATGGCATAATTTTGCCAATAGTTTGAAATGCGATTAATTACGATTAATTAATTTTTAAGTTGTAATTAACTCGATTAAAAAAATTAATCGTTTGACAGCCCTAATTGTTATTAGTATTTATGTCACAGCTCCACCACATGCAACAACAACAAAAAATCCCCTTGGAGACAATAACGTTTTTGAGTTAAACTTTGTTAAGTGTCCCAACGGGAAATCTAAATGAAATTGAATTGAAAACTTTATATTTTCTACTGTCCCCATCTTGCTAAAGACCATTATACTGAGACTTAAGACTTATTGCCCACTTAGAACTTTTTATTTTTAGCTGCAAGAAATCACTTTGTGTGATTAACTCTGAAATGTCATTATGTCTAAGATGAAGGGTGCTATTATATGCTCAGAAATAACACTGTACTTCTTCATTATGTCTTGACTGACTTCTGTAAACTTGAAGAACAACAGGTGGAAAACAGCAGCTGAGGGTACGAGCTGGTTCTCCTCTTGAAGATTAGTGTTTTTGATTTCACAAACACTGAATCTTGTTTGTCTGAACAGAAAGAGTCTTGTCAAAGTTAAATGTGAACAGATCAGACCTCTTGATCTTGACCCCTGTGATCCACCGTATGAGGCTATGGGCTGAGAGCTGATTGGCTGGAGTGAGTTGTCCACCTCGTATGTTTACTTTCAGAGTAGTTATATATACAGTATATCATCCCTCTCCAGGCAGCCGTTGCAGATTTGCAACAACTAAATTTTTTATTACGTAGCTACTCCAACATCTACTTTTTTGACCCTTTGTTACTCAGAAGTACCACTGCTGGTCTTAGCTGAGCTTTAGCAACACAGTTTTCCACCAACTCACCAGGGGGCGCTGCTGTCTCACTTCCAAAATGTCGGTATCCATCTCTGTATATGGATTGGATTATATTTGTTGTGATTTTAAAGTTTTATGTGGTGAATAAGAAGGGTCTTTGGACTGGGGATGCATTGGAAAGGTTTGTTCTGCAGCTTGGCTCCTGGACCCACAGCCCGTCTGTCTGTTTGGAGCGGATCCCTCTCTCATGTGGTTCTCCCCGAGGTTTCTCACTTTTCTTCCGCTGGGTTTCAGAGAGGCAAGGAAAAGACTGGTGGGCAGTTAGTGTCCAACTAGAAGGACTGTGGTAAAGATCCAGGACACTCACACATTCTCCAACATGTATTACATTTATCAACATTCATGGACTTTCCCTATGCAATAAAATTTGTTTTATTTCTGTCTTTTATTGTCTGTATTTGTCTGTGCACACTGGAGACTTTTGCTAATGTATTCCAATGTGGTTTTTTTACTGCAAATGGCAAATAAACTGAATCTGAATCTGCATTCCCCATGTGTTCTATATTTTTTGTGTCTAAACTGTTGATTCTCTGATCAATGGTTTTGTTGAGTCTCTGAGATCATGCTGTTGTGATTTAGGGCTATACAAGAATAAATTGAATGGAAATGAATTGACAACATGTTTTGTGTAATTAGCATATTGTACAAAAACACATTGAGTTGATTCATGTTTTGAAGCAAAGTAGAACGTCTGCAGCATCAGTCCATAGTCCACCGTCCTTCTTGCATCGCCGCATTATCATGTATTCGTTTTGCCTGAAGTAGTGTGAAATCCTGGCAAGATGAAAAGATGCTTGATTGATAGGTCACGGCTTGAGCGCGTTATGGATTTACTGAGTGTCTCGCCAAAAGAGCAATGATCAAAGTTGAGTTGGCGGCGTCTGCTTTCCAATCGACTCTCACGAAGTCTGCGAGTATCTGTCTTTTACAGAAATGTACAGACATATATTTACAGGCTGCAACGTTAATATCATGCAACAGAGTAATCCAGCTCTAGGGCAACCGTGCCTTTTGAGGATAGACCGGGAGTGTCCACGGCTTGTTGTGGAGCGATTAATCACAAATGGTTTAAAAATAGCAGATCCCAAATGTGAGATGCTTTTGTCCTACATGTGTGTGGTGGATTTAAATGGGCCAGTGGGTGGGGTGACTGGGGCCGGACTGGGTCAAAAGACTTGTGACACTCGCATCTAAAAATGTAGCTAACGAGTGGGTAATTAGGGCACAACAGCGGTAGTACGGAGTGTTTTATGAATGAGAAATGGAAAATAGGTTTTTAATCAAGGTCCATTGTAAGTAGAGCAGATTTACAGGTCAGACTGCATTGGTCTGTTCACTTCCAATTTGAATATGCAAATTTTAAGAATAAAAACACAAATATGCCGCGTCTTAAAAGAAGTGTGTACATGCATGTGTTTATGACCGTGTAAAGCAGGCGTGTCCAAACTCAGGCCCGCGGGACAATTGCGGCCCTCTGTGTCAATTTAAGTGGCCCTCTGCCTCGCTAACACAACATAGCCTTTGAGATCATCAACACAAGCTCACAGTGTCATCCAGCCAACTTCAGGACATACAGAGATGCTATACCACTATACCAAGCCGCTCTGGAATCCAGCCGCTGACTATTTTTTTGTTTTTTGTGACACAAAAACGATAGATATGGAGCTAATGTGAGATGGTAGACATTTGTCATACAGCCAACTTCAGCTTTGTCAAATGTGAATAAGTAAGGACCTGCCATAGCTGATTTTAAAGCCCTTAACTACCCTAATCCAATCAAAATAGTTTTAGTATCTGGTTCGCCGCCCCCTGGATGAGTCTGGTGAACTATAGAGGCCCTCTTACTCACAAGTTTGGACACCCCTGATGTTAAGCATGTTACATACCGTCACATTCAACTAAATGAGCTGAACAGGAGCGACTGTGAATCAAATTGAATCGTTAAAAGTCCTCGAGAAAGACAGCCTCATGGAAGCGCTAAATGTTGGAGTCAGTAGATGTCAGTAGAATATAGAAACAGAAGGTCAAGCAGCCCGGTCTGTGTGTAAGTCTCTCCATGACCTCGCACCAAAGTACATCTGTGACATTTCCACTCAAGATTAAACATGGAGGCAGAAATTCCTGACATTTTCCTGAAAAGAGTCTTTCTGAAAATGCGAGACAGGCTTCTACTCTGACGATGTTGAAATCCAGGTTACAAACAGCTCTGTTCACCTGTGCATACAACTGAAGGACTGTATCTGCACTCGATTGAAGTAGCTGTATGTAAGATTTCATGTCAAGTCGAGGTCGAATGTGTCTAAGGCGAGACAGACAGCTGCTCTATTTGCTTTCTTTATGTCAGGACAAAGAGAATGTATAGTTTGTAAAAAAAGGCACATATCACTGCGCTGCCGAACAGAAGGACACCACTCTGGTGCACTTTGTTGATTCCCATAGGGCAATTTGTCCGCTGGATTAGACCCATCCTGAGGCTTATGTCAGGAGCAGTGGTCGCCGTAGTAACAGCGCCCGGGAACCCATCTCCAGATGTTGATGCTCGGCTTGGTCAGGACCAGAGGAAGGAAACTGAGGAAACCTACGCAAGCACAGGGAGAACATGCAAACTCCACTCGGAAAGATCCCGTTCTGACCGGGATTGGAACCCAGGACCTTCTCGCTGAGAGGCGAGAGTGCTATTCACTCAGCCACCGTGCCGCCCTCTATCTATCTATCTATCAATAGATAGATCGATATTTAAGAATACGAATAAGATAAATCACTATTTAAGAATAATTTAAGAATAATATCTAATTTAATAATAATATATTTAAGAATCATATCTATAAATAAAGAACTATACATATATATAAATGGGCAAACTGTACACTGCAAAAAAATATGATTATATAAGGTAATAATTGCTTGAATTGCTTGCTTGAGTTATTTTCTCATTCCAATGGAGACATTACTCATTTCATTTTCCATCTGTTTTTCAACCTACTCTAGATTCATTCCCATTTATCTTTGTTAATACTCATTCATTGGTGCTATGAGATTTGGGTGGCATCTCTGACTGCCACCCCCCTGACCCAGAAATGGATTAAAGGGTAGAAAATGGATGGATGGATGGAATACTCATTCATTCATATCATCACCAAACAAATATTGACGTCACCTCCAGACGACGTTACCGTGAATAATTGAACGGATTATTTAGCGGGAGGCAAATCAAATCTATCAGCATTTGTCCTTAAAGACCTTATGCCGGTGTTCTGTCGAGTTGGTCTGCCTGTCGAGATGATCTGGCTCAGCTGTTAATGATGTAATGCAAACCAGCGCTGCGTGTCTCACGGCAGCCAAAGCAATCCAAGATGGCGGACATGTAGTCCGCGAATTACTTTAAAAGTTAAATATGAACGAATTAAGACACGAATGACACTTTTAATGCAACTTGAGGCGAGATGTTGATGGTTCCGCGTTGTGATATGTGTGTTTTAAGAGTAAGAGTTTCGTGTAAAGTTTGTTTTAAGCAGTCCACTGCTCCTGTGAAACTACACTGCAGCTGTGCCCAAATCTGATTTGCGCATGCGCACAAACCCGCCAGAATGGGGAAAAAACTCGATCTAATTAAATATTTAGTTTGAACACACTATTGTTAATCATATTGAATACAGTATGATACATGCATAAAATTTGATTTATTATTTCCATTATCAACCCGACAGACCAGTCACAGGACGCGTCATGGGCCTGACGTATGCAGCAGTCAACTCAGGGACTGGATCACACAGCAGCAGTGTAGT